GGCAAGTAATATTTAGTTAATGTCTGCTTTTTGGATAAAATTAAATGTTGTTACAAACTTTGGCCCAAAACTTTTTGTAGTCAAATTTCCAGGTACTGAAACCTGGTAAATTCCAACTTTTCAGATAGCTTAATTAAGAGCAGATGGAAGCTGAGTTGGTTACAAAATTATAGGAAGTCTTATAAAAGCAGAGAGTTATTTTCAAAATGAAAACTCAATTGGGAAACCAAAAAGTGTATACCACAAAATATCTTACCAAATGCTAAACCCAAAGAACATCATGGCATATAGGCATTGTATTTATTAATTTATTTTCTGTTTAATAACATAAAAAGTGGTTGTATTTATTAGTCTTAAATAAACGAATATCCTTTTTAATAAGAAACTGTAAGATAGTTTTGGTATCCTAGGCCAAAGATGTCCAAACACTCAACTTAAAATGGAATCTTTCTACAAATCCATAAATTGTAATAAAAAATACTAATTTTGAGCATAAGTAAAGCCAGAATAGTTACCCAAAAAATGTCAATTAAAATTCAATTTCTCGGAAGACAATTAAAATCTTTGCCATAAAGGACAATGTCCGAGAAAATGTCTTCTTCCACTGGCAAACTTTTTGCTAACTGCCTTTTCTGCTAATCCAATGGCAATTTGAACTTTTTGCCCCATATTGAATATCAATTTCATTAGATTTTCTAATTGCAAACTGTACAAAATCATGAAATCATAATTGAGGCTATTGTTGGCTCGTTTTTGGCCAGATCCTTCGTTTATATGCATATATGCAAATATATATAAACGAGTATATAACATAAGACAATAGACAATGACACTGCACTTGAGCTGTGGCCTTGCTTTTCCTTGCAGAAAAACCAAATTTCCTCCTGCCATTCTGCCATTAAAACACTTAACCCAATTTGAATTCAATAGGTTTGGGGTGGTGGCTGAGAGTAGAGGAGGGGAGGTCAAGTGAGACCAGTTGGGTTGGGTCTGGGTGAAACACTGTCAATGACACGGTCAGACCTCGATATATGGTCATGGGACATGCATAATAATTAGGCCGCCTCGAGTGCTTCTTTGTTTTGAGGTCTTCCAACTGTTGAATACACGAACTGACCATCAAACTCGAGATGTGTCCATGTAGTTTTTGGCTAATTAGGCACATACTATACAGTTTGCCCTTCCTTAATGAAGTCATTTGGATTGTCCACGTTTTTCGGGTTCAAGAGCAAAGGCAAAAGCAAAAAAGAAAATAACCCAAAACCCACGCACAGGTGTCCCATTTCTGAATTGTTGACGTAATTGGAGAGGCCAACTGACACAGAATTCCAGTGAAGGATCCTGAAAACAGGTTGTGCTTTTTGGGGGGGCAACACAAACAACGCCAGTTGGTCAGGATTTGGTGTCATCTGTTGTTGTTTGTTGGGTCCTCAAGGTTATGCTGTTGCATATTTCTGAAGGATTGCCATTGCTGCTTTGTAATTTGATAGCAATGGGAAGTGGCTAATGGGTGGAGTGAGTTTGATGTTATGAAATCAGTAAAGAACATAAAACTGGAAAGTAATAGTTAATATTAAGCTGAAATATTTTAATGTATATTTCAAGGCTTAAAGTATTATTCTCAGATATTTTCCAGCACCACTCAAAAGTTAATAAAAACCATCGTAAAACCCCTTGAATAAATCCAGCAATTAATTATGGATAAGGGAGAGCAGCTAAAAAAGAGGAAACTGATTCCGAATGTAAATGCAATTTTAAAGTTGGATTCAATTTCGTTGCCAGCACCAAACTCAATTCTGCAATTTTGTAAAAGCGCAAACATGCGGGAGGTGAAGGTAGAGTGGGTAGAGGTGAAAGGTCAGATATCCAGAGGATACATTCCACCCAAAGTGGGTGCTTTCTGTGTGTATAAGCGGTTAGGTGCTTTCACATTTCACCATCACCACCATCACCATCACCACCACCTGCAGCTGCAGTAAAAATGACATTAAAATGGAAGTCATATGCACATGGTTAACTTGCCACGCATAACCAAGCCGTAATCATTTTGATGGCACTCTGGAGGTCGGATTGGATCCATGGAAGAGCTAAACTCCATGGCTTTGGGTGCAACAGTTTACCATGTGGTGGATGAGGGATGAGGATGAGGGGGCACCTGGCTGCTGGTTGCTGGTTGCCCGGTGAAATTAGTTTGCCTTAATCCCATAAAAGCGTTGCACCCTGGCTACCGTTGATGATGATGATAATGATGGCGATAATAATGGCGATGATGCTGCTCCTGATGCTGGCCAGCGGATAGAGAAATGAACCCAAACTGGGGGAAATTCCATTAGGGGAATGCGAATACGAATGCAAAACGCGAATATAAATGAAAATGTTAATAGAAATGACAACATAAAACAGATGCAGCCAAAGATGGGAAAAATATATATATTTTTTCGATAGATACACAAGCGAATTTCTATTAAAGGTTTTTATTGGAAATTGAGGGAAAATATTAACATCTCTTTCTATAGAAATCACTTATGGCTGATTATAAAGTTTTCTTAAATTTATAAAGCGGAATGAAGATAGGATTGGGGTTTAGATGATAGGCTGGGAAATGGAATGATATACTCTTCTCATAGTATAGTTTTTCCCAGTCCAGGAAAACGACACTCTGTCCTTATATGAAAGAAAAGTCAACTTAACTTCCCCCGTAATCACGAAGTTTCTTCCTTTTTATAAAATTTAATCAGCTTTACTTAACTTAACTTAACTTAACTTAACTTAACTTAACTTAACTTAACTTAACTTAACTTAACTTAACTTAACTTAACTTAACTACCTGAAGACGTTGAAAATTAGCTTACCGTTTCGTCGTCTACGGGCATTAGAAATCTCTCGAGTCTGCTGACTAACTATTTTACGATTGTACAGATATATATATATATAGATATATACATATAAACCTTCTATAACTGTCTGTGAAATGGCTGTGCATTTTTATTTTTCCCTCACCGGCAGCTGCGGAAATTGTGAGGAAATGAAAATGGTTTAACTTTTCTTTCTTGTGTGTGCGCTCCGTTACTTTTTTTCCAGTCCGCACCTAAATCCTTGACTGATGGTTGAAAAATGTAGAGAAAGGCGTTGGGTTAGGGGGGGGCGTCATTTCATTCAGCCTCTTATTACTTGAGCCGCCCCAAACTATTTATAGTTTCTCTCAGATGTTTGTGCAATTGCCATTCGTGGCTGGCAGTGCGTTGAGTGAACCACCTTGACCCACTCTAATTGCAATTGCAACTGCAACGCCGCCTAATGTCTAATGTTCTCAGACAGATACAAAAAAAAAGTGAAAAGAAAACCTGCAAAAAATACTCAGCAGAGGCACTTAAAACAGACGCCCAATTGGTTATTGAGTCGATTGGGTTTTCGATTAAATTTTCATCGCCATTCGGAACTCGATTGGCGTGGGCGTGGGCGTGGGCAAACCTTTATTAGTTTTAAATATTTATTTGTTCCTGTTTTGAGTGAGAGCACCTCCGGCGGGCAAGTTGAATATTAATGAGCTTAATTGAAAAAGTTGGGCTAAAAACAACAGCGCAAACCTGAACAATATCCTCGAGTCTTTTTGGCCCTGCCCAGAATTCATTTTCAAATTGAGGCAAATGAAATGTTTGCGGGCAGGAGGGGATAAAGGGGAGGAAAGTTACAACAAAAACCAAGTCTCAATACGCAATTTACATAATTACGCACATTTGACGGAAACTTATAAATATTTATGCTGATGGTGAAAAATTAAGTTCTTGGTTGCGGGTTTTCTAGATGAAAATGGAGAGGGCAGGCGTTTTGGGGGCTTACAACTTATGCCCAGGCAGGAAAATATTTCATCTATAGTTAAGCTTTTAAAAGCAGCTCTATGTTTATGGGAAAATTATTTAAGTAGCTATGTGTGAGCAGGAAAAATTATTATAATTTTAACTTTGCGGATTTTCACTTTTTAAGCGCAGAAAAAGTGTGAAATTTATTCAGGTAAAGTAGTTTAACTTTTTGTTTATTTTTTAAACATTAATCAAAGTATATAACAATAATAATATATAGTTTGAAAGTGTTTCATAAGCACGTTTTTAAGTGCATCAGCATTTGTGACCTCATGTAGCCTCTTTACTGCGAATCGAAAAGACAATTTGCCACCGAAATCAATTTCTATAAAAATCAAGAAACCCAAGTGAAAAGTGAATTACTCGTAAATTATATTTGTCGCAGCTCGTTTTATTTGTTTTTTCTGCTGCTTTTTGTTGTTATTTTTTTGTTGGTTTTGGGTAGAGCAGAAATTTAACATGAATCTCACGTCTGTCGTTTTCGCCGAACGACCCAACCAGACCAAAATCTCAAATTGTGCAATGTTGAATCATGAGCCGAGTTGGATTCGGTTTGGGTTTGTGTTTGGGTTTGACTGATGGGTGGTGGTGGCGGGGTGTGCTATAGTGCTGATCACAACAAAAACATGGATGATGGATGTTGGTTGAGAGGGACTGACGGGGTTGGGTAATTGTCATCTAAATGACCGACAGCCAGCAGGTGACCGTTGGCCGCAGGTTAAGCTCGGAATTCCATCCAATGCCGCATCACATCACATCACATCTTCCCCATGAAAACCCAGTTGGATGTACACTTTTCGGGGTGTCTCATTGCAGTTCGTGTGGTGCAGTGAATTAACAGGGTGAGGGGGTGAGGTTACAACCATCATTTTCAGCGTTTTTTCAACATTTTCCATTGAGTTTCTGTTGTAGTTTTAATTATGTTTGTGATATCTTTCTGGGAAAACACATAAGCTTATGAGTATAAAAGTAAATATGATTAAAGGTGATTATTATGACAAGGATTTACTCTTCGTAGGATAACATTTTACAGGGTTTTGTTTTTAATGAAAATATATTAAGATTGCATTAACTTCGTTAAGATATAACCTAAAGATAAATCATAGTCTAATTTCCCGATTTCTCTCTCCTTTCTTACAGCACAAATATGTCTAGCGATTCGAGTCGAAGGATTCAGGTGCCCGAGGAGCTGAAGGAGGTGCTGCTGCAGTTTTCGATCTCGTTCCTGGTGGAACAGCCACCGGATGTGATCGACTATGCCGTGGAATACTTCACCAAGCTCCAGGCCGAGCGTCCAAGCGCTTCTCACACCGATCAAAGTACCGATGACCAACTGAGCGTCAACTCACAGGATGCCGATGGTAAGTGCAGTTTTATTTCTGTTCCTTTCCCCTTTTTCAACTTCAGGAATGTTTTGTACTGGCTCTAAAGATATTCGATTGCGTGTTCTGTCAACTTTTTCTTGGCTTAACTGCCAGGCTTAAATCTCCTTCGTTTTACATTTTCCACTGCTGCTCCTCCTGCCTCTGCTGCGTGTTGCAAAATTCTTGCCTGGGATATTTTTACTTTTTGTGTACGTTTCTGTTTCTGTTTTTTTTTTCAACTTTTTCTGTGCTTTCTCCACAGTCTGTGTTTTATTTCCGTCATGCAATTTGTGCTGTGAACTGCTGCGTAGTGGCTGCAAATCTCTGACGTCAGCAATGTCAGTTCAGTTCGACATATAGACAATCTGCTGCTGTAATTCCCCCGACAATTTCTGGTTGTTGTTGGCTTTTCTTTTTCTATTTTTTTTTTGGGTTATGAGTTAGTCTTGGTCCGGGGGAAATCAAGATTTATTTGGCTGGCAGAAATTGAAAAGTTTTCTTCTTCTTGGGCCATCAGCTGCCTCCCGCCCTACCCTCTTTTTGGTTTTCCTTTCGGCACGTGTTTGTGATAATTAGCAGGGGCCACGCATATGGCCATAAATCTTTGGGCTCCCACTACGAGCATACAAAATACGAAATTAAATAATGATGATGATGAAGCTTTAGCCGAGTTCAATTTGCTCCAGCTCCAGCTTAACCCCCTGCTGCCCTCCTCTTAGTTGGCCCTCTCCGTCTGCGGGCTTTTGTTCACAGCTTCCTTTTGCGTGTTTATCTTCCGGTTAATCAAACACGCAGCCCTCGGGGGATGAGGTGAATGCTGCTGCTGGATGCCATGTCATGTGGGTGGATAGAGGGGGCTTGGGGGGGCCAGAGCAGCAGCAGCAGCAGATGAAATGGGGCACACTGCTCCTGTCATTAAAAATCTATTAATTGTGCACACAAACATAGCAGCAGCAGCAGAGTGAAAGAGCTGAGCCAACTTGCCAGCTGTCAATCCTTTCGCTTCTGGAATATTAGATCCACTCACAGTCGGACTTTAAGAGCTTCATCTCTAAGTTGAGTTACTTAGAATGCCAATTAGATGTGCTTTAGTTTAGGTCAAAAGCTAAAGGATTCTTTGTGGAAAAGTTCTGAGAAAGTGTAGGTTGGAAGATATAAAATAAAAATAGCCCTTCCTTTAAAACTTAATAGCCTTCCTTTGAAGATTATGAAAGATTGACTTTTAAGTTTGAGAAATATATCTTACTTGGCTTAAAAGTTGGACAGCTTTTGGTCAAATGCCAAAAGGATTTTGGATAAGTTGATAGTTCTTAAAAAGTATGTAACTTGACCATCAAAAAGTGCTGTTCTAACCAATATTCTTAGGAAGTTTCTCTATGAAACCTAACTGATTTGCTAAATAATATAGTTTATGACTAGAAAAACTTAAGTTTTAGGAAAATCTTATTTAAAGTTTACTCATAAAATGCAAAATTTAATAAATTTAGTATAAACTACCCCCAGAAAGCCTTTCCTTAGACATTTCAAACTAAAACCACAAAAGATTCTTAATAAGGCTAAAAGTATTATATAGTTTTGAGACCTTTGTCTCACTATTAATGTCTGGCTGCCATGGGCAACTTTATCCGCTTTGGCTGCCCAGTGAAGCCAGCGAAATCGCTTCAAGCTCGAAACTCAACTGGAGCGAAAATGGCACGCAAATAGCTATGGGCCACGCCCACTACGCTCTACCGCCCCGCCGTGCCTTCACCCTTTTTGGATTTTCCATCGATCGTAGTCTGTATTTTTATGCTTTGATGTCTATTTGTGGCCGGAAAACCTTGTGCTGCAAAGTTTTTCGTTTAACTTTGGGCTTTAAAGTTGATGTGACATTAATATCGCGCATACGCCGCGTAGGCCTTTGTGGCTTACTAAGGTGTGGCTGTGTGTGTGTGTGTTCTTTGAGAGGCGGTCAAAGGTATGCACTGACCATGGTACATTTTATTAACACTCCTGTTGGCCACGGCGTCAAACCGAGGGAAAAACCGGGAGCAAACGGGTGGGAGGAACGTGGATAAATGGTGAGGAGGGGGACGTAGAGGAAGAGGAGTAGGAGAAGGTGGGTTATGTTTTGCAGGACTTGCAGGACCACTGAAGCATACTGATGAACAGCTCAGCAGCCGCATACGCTTCATCGGGCACACAGGGCGCATGACACGCCCCGGGATGGGGGCAGTGGGTGGTGAATGCTTCAGGATGAAGCATTGTAGAAGGGGGAGTGGCACGTTGTGGAGTGAGTTACATTTCAACATTATTGACATGCCAGCAGCGTTTGTGGCAGGATTCTAGGCTGGTTCGCTGGCAAAACCTGAACGGAAATGCCGTCTCTTTTACTTTTTTTTTATCTACCCCCTCTCTATTGCTCACTCACTCGCTGTCTCTTTCTGTAGAATAGCATCCTCCTGTTGCGCTTAATAATAATGTGTATATGAATGCTTATATGAAAAAGCTGAGGGAATGCTCATGTTAATCAAGACAAAGCAAAGTGTTGCTGCTATTTATAAAGCTACAGGGAGAGAAAATTGTAGTGCATTTTACTTATTTTGGATAACTATCAGTTCTGTATAGCTAAAGATGTATTTATTACTAAACTAAAACATGTTTTATGGGGTAAAAGGTGGTTTCTATGGCTAAAGTTATTGATTTGCAGATCAGAAAGCGCCTTACCAATGTCTGTTAATTGCCATTCTAGATAACCCAATCAAGCTGCCATTTCTCTCAGTGTTTAGCCAACAAAGCGACAGACAGCTGGCACACACACTCACACCCACACTCACACACACACACACACAGTGAGATATATGGAGCTGTATAAATAGACGGCCGACAACCACTGGACCGCTTGAGTGGCGTGTTGTGCTGCCTACTTACAGGCACTATTTCCGCCTTGGTTTGACGTTTGCCTGTCCCTGTCATCAGCGACTCCAGCGGACAATGATGAGGATGGTTGGTGATGTGGTGATGCTGTGCCTCTTGTGGCACCATTGGCACATTTCAGTCGCTCGTAGAACGTCACCAGGATAGCACGCACATCCTAAAAGCCGTCTTTCAGTCGGTTTGTCATTCAGTTTTTAAGTCAGTTTGTGCCTCTTGGTGGCCAACCATTCATTCAGTCAGTCATTCATTCATTCATTACGCCTCACGTCGTCATTGTCGGAAGTTGTCGTCCTATATATAAAAATATATATATCCATCTCGATCCCGTTGCCGTCACTCGCAGTCGTCCTCGTTGGCTGTTGTCTCATTCTGCTAATGAAATTAATGCAGACAACTTTTTATTTGCCATTCTTAATTGAATTCCCCAGTTTATTTGCCAGAGTGCATGTGTGTGTGTTCTCGTAGAGCAAGCAACTAACTTAATTGAAATACTTTCGGTGCATCAATTACCAAAATTATATTTTAACTTTCTTTGCCAGGGGTTTGAGTTGAAATCTGAAAGTTTTCAGAGTTTAAAATATTATCTAGGCGCGAGAAAATCTTTGGGTGTTTGTCTTAAAATTAAAGCGATTAATAAAATAGTTTTTTATTTTGATGAAATTTAAGTTTTTAAAGTATAATCTGCTGACTGTTAACTTTGATCTTCGGAAAACTTGTAAATCAAAGTTAAAATTTGTATCAAAATTCCAAAGTAAAAGCAAAGTTGTAACTACAAATCGAAAACCTCAAAAATCAAGAACGCAGTATTTCATCGACTAAATAGTTTGATAGAAATCCAAGCAAGTTGAGAAATTAAAATTGCCATAAATTAGGAAACGGAAATTCGCCTGATTGATGGACATACGAAAATCTTCTTCTAATTACCAGATTGTAAATCAAAAATCTCAACAGACCTTGCTGTGTGCACAGATTAGGTTGTAATAAAAACCAGAGCAGAGCCAGTGGAGGCAATTTCTGTCCAAGACGTGGGCGTCCATACAATTTAAACAGTCGTGGGGTATATATTTACACTCATAGATATATATATAGTCAGCGGCTTGGATAAACATACTTCTGTGTAGAAGGAAAATAGACGTGCCACTTGGCTTACAATTTTTGTGGTTTTTCTTGTTGAGTTCAGAGGGCATAGGATAGAGAACTTTAGAATGCGTGCCTGTGCAACTGTTGGGTAATTGCATCATTAGGTTGACACTCTAACTGGCAACTTGACACGACTGCGAGTGGAAAACTGCGGGCTGCAGTGCAAACATCATTTTGTAGCCAATCCAAATCCCAAACCGAATCTCTGTGATTTTGCTATATATATACACACACACATCTATAGATCTATATATACAAACATTTTCAAACTGACTTGCTGAAGGCTTCGCCAAACATTCGAGTGCATAAATATTTATTACGCATACGCAGCGTGTGACGGGAAAGCCAAGCGCTCGCTGTTTGCGCTGGATTTGTTTTGTTTTTTCAGTCTTGTTTTTTGTTGTTATTGTTGAGTCTATACATCAGTCACCTTGGGTTACATATACACACAGCTATCAAAAAACTATATAGACTTATATTTTTTTGTACTTATTTTTTTCTACCTTTTTTCTACTTATTTTTAAACGTGTTCATGCCTAACTGGTTTTCATTTTCGCGCTCGTTGCAACCAATTCGAAATCGTAACTAAATTCGGAAACACGCACAGAGAGCAGCATTTGAAAATGTCCACTCAGGTGTCTGGTAATTTATTGGCCGGTGAGTAGTAGCTGGGTGGAACTTTGGCTTGACCAAATCAAAAACCAAATTTCGTTGACCAAAAAAATAAAACATATGTTCAGTTAAGGTGTTTCATTTTCTGTTCGGTTTGAGTGTGGAATTACTGCAATTGATTTTGCGGTCATGTGAATCTGAACAAACATTTAAATATCCGCAGCAGAGAAGGAAAAGAAAAATGTTTGACAAATATGAGACGGCATGGCAATCTCAGCTGGACAATGCCTCATATTTATGCAATTTTAATTGTCGGAAACGCAAGCTACGAGCTGGGTTTAGAGATTGTCAAACACTAGGAGAAATTCTATAAGAGAACTGCTTACCAGCTCAGAAAATTTTCATTTGGAAAAGTTATTTGAAACCTTTTTTGGAGTTTTTAGACTTCTTATATATTTTATATTTATTTTAAGAGATCTAAACCTTAACTATTTACCTTTTTTTGACAGTTAACAAAATAAATAATCATAAATAAAAATATATAAACATGTTTTCAAGTCAAAAGACATGAAAAGACTTCTTTTCCCTGTGTAAAAATTCCAAAGCAGAGTGAAAACTTTGCCCACATGCTCTTCTAGTTCTCCGTACATGACAGCAAATTCCATTGGATTATGCTGTCTGCCGTTGATATCCGAGCTCCGCCTCGGCAGTTTCATTTGAATTGCATTTGCGGTGGCCCAGCAGGAGATGTGCCAGAGCAGCAGATTCCAGGTTGAATGATGCCCCGACGTTTAGATACCAGAGAACTCTGTCATTTTGATCATTAAATGAAGACATAGCTCTTCATGGGTTTCAATTTGCAGATTTTGCTAATGATTAGAAATCTCTAATATCTGATTTATATTTTCATTTTGTTTCCTTACAGCTGAACCACCAGTTATGGCCAGCTCGCGCCGCAAATCAGTTTTCGCCGAGGCCTATGATCCGGAGGCGGATGACGATGATGATGGTGCCACCGCCGTCTTCCCCAAGACAGATGAACAGCGTGCCCGACTGGTGGAGTCGGTGAAGAATGTCCTCCTCTTCCGATCCCTCGAAAAGGAGCAGGTTCGTATTCACTACATAAATCATAAGTCTCTCGGGGAAAGGATTTGTGGGGAAGGAGCCCCGGCATACATCACGCAACAGCGTTTAACCCGAATAAATGTGTGTTGTGCCTGCGGTTTCCCTTTTACTGGGGATTATCCCCCATCAGGCAGAGGCCCCCACCCTTACTTCCCACATTTCCCTCGAAAATCATCATCATCATCGCCTTGTAACTGATTTGTTATTGCAGATGAACCAAGTCCTGGATGCGATGTTCGAGCGAAAGGTTCAGCCGGGCGACTATATCATCCGCCAGGGCGACGATGGCGATAACTTTTATGTTATTGAATCGTAAGTAAAACAAAACAAATTTCCAATCAAACTCGATGAATAATGCACATTTCTTGTTTGCGCAAAAGTTAACCCCAAGTTGGGGTAACTTTTTGGTGATTTTTGTTTGGTTTGCCTAAAGGTGGCATAACTTGTATGTAACTTGTTCGAAATTTATTACAAGACTTGGAAAATATTTAATATAAATTAGCTTTAACATTGATTAGATAACTTGCCTACTGTAAAAGTCTTTAATATGCGTTTTACCGAAGGTAAAATCAGTCTACCTAAGCAGCTAAAAGCTTTTAAAGTTAAAAGTAAACTAAAAGCCATAAATTTCCCACATCTTCTGTAAAAGCAAATTAAACGTTTTAGAATGAACTCGTTTAAGTAGAACCGCATAATTACTCATGCAGAAGAACGAAGCTCATTCATTTATGTGCGGCTTAATTAATTTGTGTTTGAATGGGAATTAGTATTTGATATGGCAATTAATGAGTACTTACATATTGATAAGCACACACACACACATCCAGCATCGGACCATCAATTATAAATTGCATTCAATTAAAGTGGATTTTTCGTCACATCTCTCTCTCTCTCTGTCTCGCTCTGGTATTGATTAACACCCTGAATATATTTTCCATATTATTCCCCCAGTGGCGTCTACAAAGTCTATATTAATGACAAGCACATTAACACCTACAATCACACTGGACTCTTTGGTGAATTAGCGCTGCTCTACAATATGCCCAGGTAAGTGACGACTATCGCCGCCCTGTATTTGATTGATTCATTATGCCAAATTTTCCGCGCTGTCTGAACCACAATTACAATGTGCTAATAGCTATATATATATATACTATGCCTATATATAGTTACATATATAATATATAGAGTGTAGAGCTGTATCTAATGTTGAATTTAAATATCTAGAGCGGCCACTGTGCAGGCGGAAACGAGTGGTCTACTTTGGGCCATGGATCGCCAGACCTTCCGACGCATCCTGCTGAAGTCGGCCTTCAGGAAGCGGAAAATGTACGAGGAGCTGTTGAACAGCGTGCCCATGCTGAAGGCCTTGCAGGTGGGTTGCTACTTTCATTTCTTCACCCACTCTCACTTCTTTCTTAAATCGATATTATATATATATATCTATGTATATATCTTTCTAACTGCAGAACTACGAACGCATGAATCTGGCGGATGCTTTGGTTTCAAAGAGCTACGACAATGGCGAACGCATCATCAAGCAGGGTAAGTGATTGACAAAGGTACAGGGGAACTTCTTTAAAAGGAAATAACGTGCATTATGATAACGCAAATTCTGCAATGAAATACCTTCAAATATAAGTATGGCATACCTAAAGAAGTCCCCCTGTTTTTACCTCCCCCCTAAGAACTTTATCTAATATCAAAGATTTTTCTCCTTGATTCCCAGGTGACGCCGCCGATGGCATGTACTTCATCGAGGAGGGCACCGTGTCTGTGCGCATGGACCAGGATGATGCCGAGGTGGAGATCTCGCAGCTGGGCAAAGGCCAGTACTTTGGCGAACTGGCGCTGGTGACACATCGACCCCGAGCGGCCTCCGTCTACGCCACGGGCGGCGTTGTTAAGCTAGCATGTGAGTGTCCCGGCCGGCGGAATGGCTAACACGGAAAGCGTTTCAGTCGAACCCCCGATCCCCGCTTGACCTAATCCCTAATGCTTTTGTTTATTTGTTCTTTGTCCTGTCTACCCTGTCCCTCACCCACCCGTCCCCATCCTTCTATATTTTTGTGTGTACTATGTGTATGTGTGTGTGTGTAGTTTTGGATGTCATTTGCTTCGAACGCCTCATGGGGAAGTGCAGTGGGGGCATTCAGCGTAGCATTAGTGGGTATCGCTATCTGGAAGAGGATCTGCGCGAATATTTTGGCAATTTGTAATTTAATTAGTAGTAGTTTTAGAAGTAGTAGTAGTGGTAGTACTTGATATACCCATTTTCATGACCTTAATTTGCTAGGCTTGAGGGAAAACTATGGGAAAATTCTTTTTAGTAAATTTTCTAATAAATTCGTTAAAAAATTTCATATTTTCTTAACTTTTTTAATGGAAATATGTACGTGACTATGACTTCCAGTTTTATTCATAAACCAAACAAACCTACTTATTCTTTAAAGAGTCCTAAAGATAACATTCCTTAGCAATGCGGTCATGAAAATGGTTCTGTAGATTCTTAAAAATACCTGACTAAGCCCTATATAAACCCAAAACTCCGTCCAGTCCTAGACACCGAGGCCTTTGAACGCATCATGGGCTTCCTGACCGATGTACTCAAGCGCAATGTCGTGATCTATGAGCAAATGTTCACCGACATGGCCCGCCGCAATACCAATTTGTGAAGAACTCGAGTGTACACTTTGTTTCATATTTTTCTAGGTTATTGTTATTCTAAATTCTTAAAAGTAACATATACTTTTTTTGGAATTTCCTAAACATATTTTCAAAATTCACAATTTGACTATGCAAAATGAGCAATAAAAAAGTGTTTTTTGGTTTCGACACACACACGTACATGAGTATATATCTTAAGGGCAAGAATCCCCAGCACCATCCCAAAACTTAAACCCACAGCACTATGAACTTTCAATGTCTGAAGCTGACACAGGCATCTAAGAGGTTAATGGATCGGTAAGAGAAGGATAATGAAGATGATAAACAGTATGGGGCCTGTGGTGATCAAGGAATGCGTTATGAGATGGGCTATTGGTTAAGAATGTTGCTAAAATGTTGTTTAATAAATATTACTAAACCTCCTATCCCCCAGAAAATCCCATACCCAAGCATGTATTAAGTGTTTTTGATGGTATATTTATTAATTATATAACTAATAATATGATTATCTTTCCGTTTAGTCCTCGATGTGAAGGCATTTGAGCGTTTGTTGGGTCCCTGCATGGATATTATGAAGCGCAATATTGACGACTACGAGTCGCAGTTGGTGAAGATATTTGGCAGCAAAAACAATATCACCGATACACGATAAAAAGTCTGAACAACAAAACCAACCAACCAACCAACCAACCAACCAACCAACCAACAACAACAAACCACCATCAGCAACAGCAACAACAAAAACAGCAACTAAAACTTAAAGAAAGGTCACCTGCAGGCTTCTTAGGACTTTATTTTGTAACCACGTTTCTTTGAAATTGAGCAATAATAATACACAAACAGCTAAAAAGAAAACTAAACAAAACAACAAACACAACAAAGCACAAATACCAAACAAACACACAAGGACACAAAAATCATTTAAACTTAATCATGAATATTTGATAATTGAAATTAATCTATAATACTACGATAATAATGATGATGATGAGATGATGATAATGTTGATCATGTTGGGGCGAAGCTTAGCAATGTTTCTAATCATAAAAAAACAAAAAACAAAAACAAAGCAAGTTAAGAATTGTATTGTATGTATTTAGCAATTGTAATTTGTAATGTATTTAAAAATTGAGCAAAAATGAATTCAAATGCAATCAGCAATGAGAGAAAAACAACAAGAACGATTGGCTCAACGGGAATGTTAAAAGAAAAACGTACTAATTTAAGTTTTGTTTATTCATAACCTTTTTGTTATCCATTGATTTATTCATAATTAATTTAGAAAATAACGCAAACACTTGTTTAATTGGCTGCTAATTAACTGATAAGCAACAACAAAATATATCAAATAAGAGCAAATTGAACACAAAAACAAAAAACAAACAAACACACACACAGACACACATCAGTGAAGAATGTTTCCCCAAAACAAAAATATCAAGTATTCGCCTAGGGGAACCCCAATTAATGTATGTATATGTATGTACTAGTCTATACATGAAACAACTGGACAGCTGGGCAGGTGTTTCGGCCATCGGAGAGAGAGAGAGATAGAGAGAGAGAGAGAGTGTGTAGGGAATGAGTATATATCAGATTTGCAAGCCCCCGAGATGTAGGTTTTCCACTTCCTAAAGCGATCTCACAGGATGTTATTGTTATTCACAGTTCTCGGAACTCGAAACTCGGAAAGAAAACAAATTATGTAATGCTAAAGGCACAATCAATATGTTGCATGGGATCAACTTAGAACAAAAAAACTTTGAGAAAAACTAGCGAAAAAATACGAAATTTAGCAGAGGTTTGAGGAGAACGGGGAAGAGTTGTGTGCACCAGGGTGACATTTGCTTAAGCCGCTTTAAAAAATATATATAAATAAAGATATACATATATTCTTTATTTGTCAGGCCATAGCGAAAACGAATCAAAGCAATATCGACGGCCTGGTTAATGTGTACTTAGTATATCCCTGTTTTTGTTGCTGTTCACAATACCTGTACTGTACTACCCTATACCCTATACAATATACCCTATACCCTATACCCTATACCTATATCTCTATTTATATAACTGAATGAGCTTAAAAACGTATGGTAAAGCCTAAAGCCTAAACCTAAAACTAAACCTTAATGACTCCAACTACTTTATATGAGTGTAACCGTATTGTTTTGAACAAAACAGCGTAACTAAACAAATCTTAGTGGGATAATCAAAGAGAACTTGCATATGTGTAGGTATAATATTAAATTAAATTAAATCAATTCAACTGGCATACCAGCAGTCGACAGGTGTTCAAAGCTAAAAAGAAACTAAGAAGAAACATATAAAGAAACCGAAAATATCATATATGTAAAATTGCTACAAATCGTTCAAACAAAAAAAATTGTCAGCAAGCAAAATAATAAAACTAAAAACAAAAAATATATATATATATATATAAAAAGTATGTTTTTAATCTTAATTGGTGTCTAGTCTATGTTCAAGACTTTAAAGCAACAAATTCTTGGAAATTTTCGAAACAAGCAAAATGAAAATGAGGAAAACATAAATAATAATAATGACTATTATATCAAGCGAGTAAAATTATAGAAATTAATTAAGATGCAGAAAGTGCTGGCCATTTTCTTCCACATACCAACTACAACAACACGCACACACACATACACACACTTAAGCCAATACACACACACACACGCACACACAAGCCATATTAAAGAAAAGAAAAAACTTTCATCAAGCAAAGCTCAAAGATAATATATAAAGAATCGTTGAAATCACCGATGACAAAACTCTTAACGCGCAAATTTCAAATTTCAAGTCACTGAGAAAGGATACATTAAATAAAAATAGTAAAGCCTATTCGTATTTTAACTGTTGTGTTGTAATTATGCATAAAGCGTATTTAATTATGTATGTGTAACAAAAATAAAAAATTAAAAACAAATACAAACGAAAAGAAAAACAAAAAAGAGTATGTATTAAATAGAGGAAAGAAAACAAAAACTTTTGAAGGTGTAGACACTGAAAGAAAAAGGAAACACAAATCATTGATTTAAATTAAGCGCCGAAGAAGCTGCAATAACACATTACAAAAAAAGCCAATCAAATTAAAAGTTTCCTGCTTTTTGCCATTAATAAAATTTTTATAATTTTCATTATATCTTCATTTACCGATGCCAAAATGTTGATTTTAATAACCAGCAGCTAATAGAATGGCATAAAAGTTTATTTATAAGACCGAAGAAGCGATGATTATTAAAATATGAAAGAATTCAACTAACTTCATATTAAGAAGATGTCCTTGTTATGTCGCAAAGAAATCATAAAAATAAAACTGAAAAAATAAATAAAAAGCAAAAAAAAGCAAACATGACGAATGAATAAAAGTTTAATAAATGCGATAAAACAAATGAAATGTTGTTAATTTTATGGGAATGGGGGACAATAAAGGAGGATTATGCTTTAGGCCAAAACATCATCTATTGCCTATTGCCTATAGTACTAGCTTCCTTTTCCATTAAATAAACTTTGATAATTGTATTGAATTTATAATTTTATTCACTTAAAAACGTAGCTCCAAATACACTTATAATTTTACGGTGTTTAATATATGTATTTATCTTTAAATGTATGTGTGTATGTGTATCGTTTATAATTATGTTTATAGAAACTCATATATCGGAGCCACTCTACCGACAATGCACGAATGATTAGTGTGAGGCGCGGATTTATTAGCCAATTGAAATGGTTCCGGATTTAGCCTGTCCTAAGTCCAAATTAGAATATATCCGTGACAAAGATCAAGGATAGTATCAAAAGAATTGATTATTGTATTGGGGTAATGGGATCTCTTATTCCGCTGTCGGCTGAATGGTCTTAGCCAGTGGCTGCTGTAGTTTACCGCCTCCAGGATGCGCGAATGTGATTTGTTTTTGCTTGCTCGGTTTTACGGGGAAAAATTCATTTAAAAAGTTTCTTTTTTTTCTTGTGGTTTTGTTTTTCAGTGTAAAACTAGAAATCTAACTGTAAAGATCATCGTCGCCATTGTCGCCTGGCGAGTTGACTGGCAAATTGTTACCAGTTCCTGAGGTGTTGCCGGTTTGACCGGGGAATCTAAAAGGACATATAATTCTCATTAAGTAATCTATTCCGTAAAGTAGAGCTCTTTATTTTCTCACCTGAAGTTCTGGCCGAAACCACGGGACTGCTGCAAAGTCTGGGCAAACATCTCGTATTTCCTGATGTCATTATCGGACACCGAACGACGGGCAAACTTCATTGCCTCCTCAAAGTGGGCGCTGGTGATCTCCGGCACTGGATCGTCTTCGTCCATCTGGTATTAAGGGAAAGCAGTCAAAAATAAATATTCTTTTTTTAAAGCCAACCAAAAAGACTTACGTCCATCGCTGAGTTCTGGTTCTCGGCACGCTCCTTCTCTCGACGAATCTCAGCCTCGATGGCCTGTCGGATGGCCAGCTTGCAAGCGCGCTGGCAGATCTCAGTCAGATCAGCACCAGAGAAGCCCTGCGTCACCTTGGCAATGTAGGTGAGATCCACCTCCTTGGCCAGCGGAGACTTGCGCAAGTTTGCCTTCAGAATAGCCTCACGCGACTTGTCGTCGGGCAGCGGAATATAGATCAACTGATCCAGACGGCCCGGACGCAGAATGGCCGGATCGATGATATCAGGACGGTTGGTGGCTCCAATGATAAACACATTCTTCTTGGCTCCCATACCATCCATTTCCGTAAGGATCTGGTTGATCACACGATCGGCGGCGCCACCAGCATCACCCACATTGCCACCACGGGCCTTGGCGATCGAGTCCAGCTCGTCGAAGAAGAGCACACAAGGAGCCGCCGAGCGGGCCTTGTCGAAGATGTCGCGCACATTGGCCTCGGACTCGCCGAACCACATGGTCAGCAGCTCGGGACCCTTGACCGAAATGAAGTTGGCCTGGCACTCGTTGGCAATGGCCTTGGCCAGCAGCGTCTTACCGCAACCGGGGGGCCCGTAGAACAGAACACCGCGACTGGGCTGCATGCCGAACTTCAAGAATTTGTCTGGATGCTCCACCGGGTACTGCACCAGCTCCTGCAGTTCCTTCTTCACGCTCTCGAGGCCTCCGATATCGGTCCAGGTGGTGTTGGGCACCTCCACAACTGTCTCGCGCAGCGCCGATGGACTGGACTTGGTCATGGCGTAGCGGAAGTTCTCCATTGTCACGGCCAGCGAGGCCAGCACCTCGGCATCGATCTTGTCATCCTCCAAGTCGATAAGGTCCATCTTCTCACGGATTTGCTGCAAGGCCGCCTCTGAGCACAGTGAGGCCAGATCAGCACCCACATGGCCGTGGGTCTCGGCAGCAATCTGCTCCAAGTCAACATCATCATGCAACTTCATGTTCTTGGTGTGAATGCGCAGCACCTCCAGACGGCCAGTGGCATCCGGAATGCCGATATCAATCTCACGATCGAAACGTCCGAAGCGACGCAGGGCCGGATCAATGGAGTTGGGCCTGTTGGTGGCCGCCATGACAATCAGATGGGAGCTCTTCTTCATGCCATCCATCAGTGTCAGAAGCTGCGACACGATACGACGCTCCACCTCACCGTGGGTCTTGTCACGCTTGGGAGCAATGGCGTCGATCTCATCAATGAAGATTATGGCGGGAGAGTTCTTCTCAGCCTCCTCGAAGGCCTTGCGCAGATTAGACTCTGACTCTCCAGCCAGCTTGGACATGATCTCCGGTCCGTTGATCAGGAAGAAAAAGGCTCCAGTCTCATTAGCTACGGCCCTGGCAATCAGGGTCTTACCGGTACCCGGGGGTCCGTACATAAGGATGCCACGGGGTGGCTTTACACCGATGGCCTTGAAGAGCGACGGATGACGAAGAGGCAACTCCACCATCTCCTTGATCTGGGCCAACTGCTTGCGGCAGCCACCGATGTCATCGTAGCCCACGGCATTTAGCGACTCCTCCTCCTCCTCACGCTTAATCGGATCTCCATCACAGAAGATAACCGTTTCGGGAGCCACGATACAATATGGTTCAGGATCGGTTAACACCACCTTGAACTCAATAGGACGCATAGCAGCGCGGACAATGAAGTTGTCGCCCATGTGGATGGGCCGGTAGGCCTCAAGGAAGTACGGCTTTAGGTAGATCTCGAACAAGTTGCCGGTGACGCCTTCGGTGGTGTCGTCGATGGGCAGGATGCGTACCCGCTTGCCGTACTTGACGTCGGGACAGGACTGCACCGAAACCACATCAGAAAGATGGACGCACAGGTTGTTGCGCACTACGCGGTTCATGCGAATCTTCTCGTCGGGGCAGGTGTCGTCCGAGAGCACGATACAGACCGTCTCCTTGCGGCGCTTGCCCTTGAGGATCACGGTGTCACCGCGGAAGAGCTGCAGCTCGTCCATTTTCGCCTAAAATGTTTCATAAAAGAAAAGCATAGCCAAGTCATGTCATTAATACATGCGATGACGTGGCCTTCGGGCGGGTGAATCTTACCTGCGACAGCGACACCACAGAGTTATCATCATTTTGCGCCTCCTCCACAATCAGACGGTTGGGACGGTCCTTGCGCTTCAGGATTGCTGTTGCCAGATCTTCACTGTGGGTGAAGAAGAAGACGAAAGGAAATTAATTTCAAGAAACTAATCTAAGAGATTTTCAATTTGAATCCCAATCCCTAACCGTTTTTCAAACGACGGCTTCGGCTTCATCTTCTCATCCTGCTCACTGTGATAACCCATCATAAAGTCCCTAGGGTCCCCATCCTGATCCATCTTGTCACTGTTGCTACCAGACATGCTGCGTTTTCTTTTTTTGCTAGGATTTCCCTCTTTATTGTCAATCTTGTTGAAACTTATGGACATGCTTTTCCAAGCAAAACCGAACGAAACTAAACGATTGAACAAGTCGGCTTGAAGGTTCACTTTCAAAGCCAACATGATGATGGTGACTGGGTTTTGGAAGCTTACTAGGTTTTGTTGCTTTTTTTTAGATCTTACTAAGACCATCGTATTTTATATTTCCGTTTAGAAAAACTATTTTATTGGTCAAGGTGGCTTTATTTATAAGAGTAATTCTGTATTTCCTGTGTTTGATGCCAAGTCTTTTGGCGCCAACAACTTTTCTAAAAACAAATATCTTTTATTTATAGTTATTTTAATAAATATATTTGTTTTTATCGATACACACATATTTGTTTATCAATTTTAAAAATATAAGGATAAGGTCTATTGATTATTCTAGAAGTAATGAAATTTCATGGGGCATGCTTTGTATCAATTGCCATATTTACTTATCTTTTTGTATATGAATTCCTGGATAGTTTTTAAGCAAATAGTCAATATTCAATT